AGTCTCAGAAACGTCGTAAAACGCCCAGTGTCCTAGAATTGCCGAATTTGGGTGTAAAGCAATACCCTATGAGGAGCATTTTTCACTCCTTGTCCCCATCTTGTATGTGAATTTTTCACTCCTGCTTGACATTTTCTAATCACTCATGCCGAACCCCTATTTCCCTTTCTGAGGTTTTCAGATGCCATCCAAAACCGAGCTCACTTGAAACCACCAAACATAAACGAGTCTCTACAGAACCTGGACACCAGAGCCTGGCTATGACCTGCCTCACCTACATCTGAATCATGTCTATGTATGCACAGAGCAAGGGCGCCAGGTACCTCCAAGCCCAAGAACCCCCAGCGACTCCAGCCGCTTGCACGCATTAAGTTTGGTTTGTTTACAAAATGCATCACAATCGGCAGCTGTGTGCCAAATGCAAGGTTTTCACGCATCCCCTATTCCTTTAGTCTCACCACCACACCACGAAAGTAGAGCCTGGTGGAAACATCAGCAAGGCCTGGTACATAATTTTATTCCACGTATTTTTTCCCGAGGAAACTTGACCACTAAATTACATCACTCCCGGAACGCAGCAGTGAAAAATGCAAGAAATGTCTTCTAAATTAAGTTTACATGATAATTTCACCATTTCAGCACTTATGCTAATAGATCTGAAGTCAAATCAACTGACTACAACATTCATCAAGAAAAGTATCAGTCTTTATATTTATTTAACTATTTTTGTTTTTCTTGGTATCATAAGAGTGTGATACCTCTTTGTTCTTCCTTCTTTCTCGATTGCTTTTAGAGGTACCATCTGTTGCTGAAAATGTTGACCAATATCCCTGCAAGATGTTCTTACTGCAAACTTGTACGTCTTTCATACACAAATTGGATTCATTCGCCAGCCGCCCAAACATGTTTGCTATGCACCCAAGAGTGATCAATTCCCAAAGAATGAAGGAGACAATTTGAAGCACGGAGCTTATTTTTACCGCCATCTTGCCCTGTTAACCTCTCGGTTAACCTGTTTTCTTGGTTCATGGCGGTACCTATTAATGATAAATCTAAGCCTTTCGAATGTCTAACTCACCAGGCTACCTGACAAGGCTATCCTAATGCTGCCATTCAGAGCTTTGGGGCGGACCTGACGCAGCTAATATAGATATGTTTGATGGCAAAATTCGACCCTCTGGAGATGTTTATCATGCACACCTCTTACTTGTTTTGCTTTCAAATCTCTTATGTTGGTGGGCATGATTGATATTTATATTTGGGGGGTGAGTGCGAAGGCTCTGTCTGCCAACAGACCATGCAAAAGGTGCTGACGTTTTGTTTTGGGGAGCAGGTTTAGGTTAGGCATAGTTAGGCTTCTTTCATGGAAACAAGCATTGGTGTTTTGTAAGAAACAATGACAAAATGTTTGTTTCCCTGACCCCATCTTAACAGAATCCAGAGGTATGTCTATTGTGTTTGACTTGGTGATGGGCTGATGTATAGGAGTCCAAGGTTTTTTTTTGTTTGGGTGTTTTATGGCTGTTGAATTTTCTGTTGTTATTTTGCTATTGAATTCCTTCGCTCTGTTTTGTGTTAAAAGCACTGTGGAAGGGAAGTGCAAAGTGCAGCATCAAATTGTTGGTGTTATCAATTGTTTATGCTCATTACATTGTCATCAAACTACTATATTTTGATGTATTCTGTTTCACTTAAATGGCCTAAGATGTTAAAAACAAAACAGTTTTGTCAGGTTTCTGATATTATGTCCATGCCAACTTGAAATAGATGCCTTTGTTTGCTGAGGCATCAATCACGAGTTCATAAGTTCCACCTTTTGTGAATTAATTTTTTCACTCCCGCACGGTCTTTTTGCGACGGAATTTTTCACTCCCACCCTAGTTCAAAAGTAATTGTAGCTCCCTGAAAACCCTAAAGACGCACAAAAACATTCACTGTCAGTTTAGCACTTACAAAATGCAACTGAAGAAATTTGTTGTGCATTGTGTTATATGTGATTTTTCTCTATTACTAAATTGTAAGTCAAAAAAATATTAGAACATCTTTACCTCAAAAGATTTCATGAGGTATCGGGAGCCACGCTTCATATCGTGAGGGCCCAGCCAAATAAAGGGGGCCCAGCCCAACACTGGGGGGGGGGGGAGCTAAGCCCAGCATTGGGAGGGGGCAGCTCAACATAGGGGGGCAAGGCCCCCGAAGATACAAAGTTCGATCCTTCAACTTGTGATCGAATGGATTAAGAAAAGCACCATAACCGCAGATGCAGAAACAAGTGTACTTCCTAAACTCACGAATAAATATGCAAGCACACCATGAGAAAGGGCCAAAACACAATATTCAGTTCAGCGAACACCTTCAGTACTCTGCTGCCATCTCTCGGTGGGTTGGAAGTACTTCAAGTGAGCGCAAAGGCGGCAACTTCGCACGGTTATTTTGGCAGCACTTGAACGGCATATAAATGACACAACCAGTGACGTATTGAGGAGCACGTGTTGCACATATCGATTCATTAAATGGACAAGTTGCATTGTCTAGAGCAGTTCTGCCACTGAAGTGCATATCAATAGTTGTAGATGAGTTATGTTATATCTGGTGCTTGCTGCAGTGCGTTCAACTATGAAACATTCCCTTTAAAACCAACTGACATAACTTTCTTCACTAGGAGTGGAGCTGCCATCTTTCTATTTCCTTAATAAAGGATAGGATCTCATATTGAGATCCTGCACTGGCGACTACCGCGAATTTTTCCACAAAAAAATGTTTTACGTAGTAAGGACGTCCAAATGAGCTTATGAGCAGAGTTCTGCCCCAGTATTATGTTGGGTACAACTCGTTCAAGCTGCTAGTGAAATTACGCATGTTTTACATCTGCGCATGTATTATCTACGTATTTCATACTAATAATATTGCCGATGAAAATAAGCTTGCCATCCCGTATAGCTAATCCACACTACGGATTCAACCCCTGCGCCGCGACAGAAAAAAAACCTGCACGAAATGTACTGCGCCCATCATCGGTTAGCTGACACGTTCAATACGCCTACAAATAAAAAGCAACAATTCCTCACTGCACCAAATATCGGTTCCGAAGCATAGGCATTCCGTGGGTTAACACGCGATCGGGTGGGCGGGGTCAGTTTGAACCCCCGAAGGTTTTTCCGGAATGGTTCCGGACGGCGCGGCGTAGCCGCACCAAATGGTGCATAACTGTAAACAACTGAATAGCAGATCGTTTGGCATAAAAAGATCTACTTCGTAAGGTCGCTAAACTACAGCAGGTCAGTCAGGCTATGGATTTAGCGAGGACAATTTCTACGCCTATGACATAGCTTCTGGTTCTCATTTAGAATTTGTTGATGATAGGAAACACATTATACGTCTCCCATGAACTTCACGAAGATCAGAAAAGGCAACTGATCTAAAATGACCCAAGTCAACATTTTGTTTTTATGAACATACTGCCTAGCCTAAGCTTTGACCCTTACTCAAACGCAAAACTCAGCAGTCTTGTATGATTTTGGTCACCAGGACCTTCGACAGGTCAAACAATATCACTGACCTTAAACGAGCATCAGCGACCCTTTGCTTAGCACAGGTATCTAGGTTCTAGGGCACTCTGGATACACATCTGGAGTTCGACCTTATTTGAGCTTATCTCACCCGAAGGTGAAGCCTGGGAGCCTCAAATTTTGACACAAGCGAGTTCAAGTACAGGTCAGCATACTATGTGAATTTGATTTCTCTAGGTTCTTAGTTCCTGAGATCTCAGGAGGCTGGGTCGAATCGACTCCCACCCAGCCGGGCGAAGGGTAATTCAACCGGCTGCCGGAGCGCGTACTTGAAGGAGCACGCTACCTTTTTGTACTTTTCAGTTATTGTTAGGTCATACGCGCATAATTCGATCGACACCAGTTTTCTCGAAATCCTTCAAATAGCTCAGAATTAAGATCTGAAGTAGCCGCTGCTGCGGGAGAAATCTGACTGGACTCCCTACTCACCACTATGAAAGAAATGTGTGTCACTTCCCTTGCTTTTTCCACTGTGTGTTCTGTAATGTTTGCAGCACATTAATTTGTGAAAATGCTTGCGTGATTAATGCCACGAAAGCTTGACACATTCCATTTAGACAGACAATATTTGCGGATATGAAGATATAATCCCGCGAATCAGACGAAACGTTAGACTATGGCTTTGCCTTATCCGCTTACCTTTATCACCGTGGCTCTTTTTAAGGTGTACTTTGGCTGCGGAAATGAAGGTGTAAACTGGTCAATGGTGACGCACAGACTCAAACTGGACCCAATTTGCTCCTCGGTAACGGACCCTCGCCGCTCGCCGGGCCAATCACGAACTTGTTTTCTCATTTGCACCAGAAGAGATGCCACGGCTGTCGTCATGACGACGCCGGCCACGACCGCAGGGAAAAAACGTACGGCTGTTTCAGAACGTTGCACGTAATTGGGACTAGAGAGTGAGCATAATCTATTCCACATTATGTTTTAACGGCGCTGCAGTGCCACTACCCAAAACACTAGCTGGCCCCAGCGTTTCACTTGGGTATATTTTTTGCAATATACCCAGAAGGTGGGACACTCCCTATAACAAACTTCCAAACTGGTGGCAGTCAGAAAAGAACGACAAAAATACGAAGCAGCGATCCCGGATGTGTTCATGCCGCTTGTCTTCGTAAAAAGCACTACAATTGCCGATGTGACGAACAAAGCATTCGTCACCCCGTGTCATACTGGACACCACGTCACCGCCCGTCAATCACCGCCGGGCAGGCACAGCTGACAGCAGGACCCCGGGCTGTCTGCATTGTAGACCTTAATGTGAGCATGCCGTAGGCATATCTGCCTGTATACTACTGTCTAAGCTCACAACTCCACACAGATGAGATCCATCGTTTTTAAGAGCAGCGATGGGGCCTCGAAACCATGCATCTTTCATCTTTTCTGCCCGACAAAACTGTTCACCATCAGCCCACCTATTACCACATCTCATGAGTTGCCACGTATATATCTGGACAGACACACGTATACATATTACATGCCTCATATGACTCGCATACCCATACTGAACAATCGAATTATGGTACCGGCAAACATGGCAGCATTTGCTATTTGGGGGTGTGAGTCTGTTGAAGAGCAGGCTTTATTCGGCTGAATATCCTAGAAGCAACCGTTCTTTAACAGACTCCACGGCAATCCGTGTGGCAAACCACAAGTTACACTGTATGCACCAAATACCAACATACACAGCCGTAAAAGCACTATGACCAACGTGCTCACAGTTCTAAAACGCAATCCCAATCGCGTAATCCAAATCCACATGCTGCGAATCCAACCAAACAACGCAGTAAAATATGACGGAACGAACGCAGCTGACATGACCGCACTGGCCCGTACTGGACATGAGGAGGCGGTCGGGTCGGCGCACCGCCAGCATGGCACCTTCCGGAAGCAGCGGACGCGGAGACAGCGGCGTCGCCGGGGCTTGTGACGTCATGGACTCGGCGATCGCCCGGGCAGCGGCTAATCGGCGTCCAGCTCCCCCAGGTCGTACTCGTCCGGCTCCATGTTCTCGATCTGAAAGAGCGCGACGGTTTGTGGGCCGGGGTACCAGACGACAAGGCCACGCAGGGCGGGGACAGCGGCGCGCCAGCCCGTCCAGAGGGATGGAGTCCACGAGCGGGACAGGGCCAGCGACGCGCCAGCCCGTCCAGAGGGATGGAGTCACGCGGGAACAGGGGCAGCGACGCGCCGTCGATCCGCGACAGGCAATGTGACGTGCTCGTGACGTATGGGGGAGTCACGCCGGCGTGCCGGACTTGGCGGTGTCCCCAGCGGTGCGCCAGCGCAACATCAGACAGAACCACCGGCCGCCTCGTCCGCCATCAGTCACACAGCCCAGGCTGTTCGGAGTGAAGTACGGAACTGCTGCGGCCACTGTCAGCGTCTCATCCCGCACTGCCGCCAGCGGCGCACAGGCGTCACGGCCGGCGTCACGCGTCACGGGACCCCCCTGGGTCGGTGGCGGGACAGACGCTGCCCCGGCCAGCGGCAGTGGCAGGGCGCCGGCCCCAGCGCGCCCACTACCGACGAGGACCCCGCCTCGGCCGAGATCAGGCTCAGCTCCGTCCCTCAGATACAAACACTACAAGCACTTGCTCTGACCGCCTGCTGAATGCAACTGGACCTCGAACTGGCCATCTCCCGGCATATATGATACAATCCGCGGAAGGTGATTAGTTGTTAGAAAGATTTCGCTGCTGAATGCGTGTCGCGAACGTAAGCCTGAGCATTTTCGGGTTGTGCGGCACCCTTCGTCAACTGAGTGTTTTTCCTTGTATCCAGGACATGGGCCAGTTATAAAAAAGAATGCCACTGTCTGCAAAAAAAACACGACACCGGAAAAAAAGAATGACGTTCCCCGAATGTTTTTAAGAGGAAACTCTGTCTTTTGCCGCGGCAACTCTGTCTTTTTCTCCTCCTGGTGTTTTTTTCCTTCTACTACTCACGTATTTCTTATGGACAGCTCGGTTGGCACCGTGTGCACCGGAGCAAAGAATCTTGCACGGGTTAATGGGTTAGCTAGGCATACAATTAGGGAAACATTGCGGCAATTTGATGTACGTATATATATATATATATATATATATATATATATATATATATACATATATATATTGCTAAATACGTAAGGCATACTGCACGACAAATTCTGAATTGCGGCCAGCGACTGCATTGCCCACGCTGGTCACGCATAATGCGCGCACGGAGCGACCATGTCGACTACACAAGTCCATATGCGGATGTCCCGTGACCACGCCGTAACCTCCACAGCCCAGTGTCCCACCTTCACTAAGCCGTTGGCCAGGGCGAAGGCGAGCATGGCACCGGCAGCCACCAGGCCAGCCAAGCAGCTGGTTACGCCGCTTGTTGGGGAACTCTGTGTCGTGCTCGGCGGCCGGGTCGGCGGCGGCGCCGGGGGCCGGCCGACCGACGCCGCTGTGGCGCTGTTGCCGCTCGTACTCTGAAACGCCAGGCCAGCCTGAGGCGCCCGCCAGCACACTGCACATGCCCGAGGCCAGCACTGCACATGCTCACCACCCGGTCCCTTGCTTATTCCGTGAACCCGGACCGCACTAATCAACATGGCTTTGTGGTAGCGGCGGCAGATAAGAATGGCGTGTCCCGCTGGCCAGCGGTGTTTGGGCGTCGCTCGTGCGGTGGACAAGGAAGGGGGCGGAGGTGCAGCTCGGCGAGCCGTGACGCACCGCTCCGTGGGCTGACTGACGCCTCGGGGACAGGCCTGACCTTTGGCCAGATCCGGCGGCGGCGGCGGCGGCGGCGGCGGCCCGGTCCCGCCTGGCCAGCGCCCACCGATCGGCCGCCACCGCCACCAGCCCCACTCACGGCACGCCGCCACCCGGCACCGGCGGCCCACCTCACGGGGGGGGGGGGCAGCTGTGACGTCATAGCAGGCGACCCCGCCACGCGGGCGGCCCTAACGGCGCAGCGGGGTCGGCTGACAAACCGGGGAAGGTCACGGTCAGCTCCTGCCGCAACGCACGGCGCCGATTTCGGGTGATGTCGGTACATCCCAGGGTACGACCTCTCCTGTCTGTCACATCCAGCAGGGCGACATAGGGCACAGCATCGACGCCACTGAGTCATGAACACATCACGTTGCTAGGTAATGAACGTTCCCTTTGAACTTCGCGACAAAATCAAAGCAACTATCGGTCACGGGTCAACGGCGCGGCTAGGCTGCAGCAGCCAGACCAAAACAAGCGGATCGTTGCCGACAATACTCTACCTGAGCCCCTCTGCGTGAAATGTACACAAGGCGTTTGACGGCATTACAGACAGGAATTGTACATCAGCTCTATACAAACTGGTTACGCACGTACCGGGAAATGAGTACCGGGAAATGTACGTACGTGCGTAACGTACCGTCAACTGTATGTACGTACGTAAAGTACCGGGAAGTGAGTGTCACCCTTTCATGAACCAATGCCAATGACCACATCCACATCAGCTATGCATACGAAAGGCTCGCTGCAATCATCACATGGACTACAAAGCTCACACTGGCTGCTTATCACGCACAACTAGCACTATGGCCAGTAAGCCACATCAGCCACCCGCACGGCTCGACGCGACTAATACTACGGCCGTCAGCGAGAGCGCCCACCTGCATACTGTTCGGCGAAGAGCCGCTGTTGGACGCGTGTCACGAAGCTGACGAGGTTGGGGTGCGCCTTGAGCAGCGTCTGCAGGCGGCGACTGGGGAGCGGCGCGCGCAGCAGCGGCGCCAGGTAGCCGAAAACACGCGCGTCCAGCGAGCTCGGCGCGGCGCCCAGGAACCAGTCGCGCTCGCCCAGCTGCTCCGACAACGACGCGAAACACTCGTCGGCGCGCCGGCACACCTGCCGAGCAGCCGTCAGCCGTCAGGTCAGGTCAGGTCAGGGGAGGGTTGCAGGACGGGGCCGCAGCAAGGACGCCGCCGTCACAGGCGGGACCCGAGCGCACACCGCCGGGGTCCCCTTCACCCCCGCTGGACGGGGCCGCGGCACGGACGCCGCCCTCACAGGCGGGACCCGAGCGCCGACCGCCAGGGTCTTCCTCACCCCCGCTGGACGGGGCCGCGGCACGGACGCCGCCCTCACAGGCGGGACCCGAGCACCGACCGCCAGGGTCTTCCTCACCCCCGCTGGACGGGGCCGCGACACGGACGCCGCCCCCACAGGCGGGACCCGAGCGCCGACCGCCAGGGTCTTCCTCACCCCCGCTGGACGGGGCCGCGGCACGGACGCCGCCCTCACAGGCGGGACCCAAGCGCCGACCGCCAGGGTCTTCCTCACCCCCGCTGGACGGGGCCGCGGCACGGACGCCGCCCACACAGGCGGGACCCGAGCGCCGACCGCCCACCGACGCACTGAGCGCCGACCGCCGACCGCCCATCGACGCACCAACGTCCGACGGCGCTCTCTCGGCCACGCAACACACTCGACACTCACGTAGGACTCCACCGCACGGCACACTAGACACTCACGCAGGACTCCACCACGCGGCACACTCGACACTCACGCAGGACTTCACCGCGCGGCACACTCGACACTCACGTAGGACTCCACCGCGCTGGCGCTGACGTCGAAGTCGCAGACGGAGGCCAGCTTCCGCTTTGCCGCCTCCTCCCAGACGCTCGGGTAGTAGAAGTTGAGCGGGAAGCGCAGGCGGGAGGCGTACCAGCGGCGGGTCAGCTCCGTGCTGTTCTGGGCGTCCACCCACCTAGCAGGGGACGGATCACGGGTGGCGGGTCACGACCGCGGGTCACCGGATGACCAGGAGCTACAGCGACGCCATTCAGGCCTGTCAACATGAGCTCACCTGAATGCGAATCTGGGATTACACACCTCTCGTGGAGCATCGCCTAAATCATGACTGCCAAATACATCGACGCCTATAACTGGGAGCACATAAACAGAAAGGGCAGAGTTGATCGCAAAACTAAGCGTACCAGCTTCATCACTAAGCAGGGAGTATCACTATTGCTGGATTCAGTGAACACCTAGGCACCGGCCAGTGTTGAACACTTCGTCTCTCCACAAGAACTGGCATACAGTGACAGCAGACCTCATGTCACGTGCCACCCAGTCTTACGACCGAGATGGTCGACACTACGTCCAGCGGCTGGCACGTGGCACCTGCCATCGGTTTTCACCCAGCCGCGGGCCGTGTGACGGCAGGGGTCACGTGACGACAGCTGACTGACCAGCAGAGCCACAGCGCCGGGTCCAGCCGATCCCGCAGCAAGTTGGTGAACGCCAGCGAGTCGGCGCACTGGCGAGCCGACAGCTCAAAGTCCGGGTTGAAGTTCTGCGGAGGAGACGGGGGAGCCAGTACAGTGATGGCCGCCAACGTATCCTCAGAGAATTTGAGGGGATGCGAGGGGCGTACGCAGCGATACACGGCCGTCGCTGGTCTGCTTGGTCTAGCGTCCTCCGGTGTCGTGTCAAGTTCAGGCGTTCTCGAAACCGCATGAAAAGACCGCATCGAAACTCTGCGAAATGTCCTCCTGTGTTACCTTCTTTTTCATGTGGACCATTATGTCTTCAAAGGAGCAGAGCTTCACGTCGCCATCGTGCAGCACTGGGTAGTCACGGTTGGGAGACCTCAGAGGGTTGCTGGCCTCCGTCACCTGGACTTCTGTGCCGCATATCTTCAGGAATGTCTGATCATAAGCAGATGCATCACACGAGGTCAGCGTCAAAGGAAGAGAGGTCCAGAACATAGTGCATGTGTGGTTTTCACGGATGACTGCAGCCAGGTATGCAGTGTTTTATGGAGTCCCTGGTGAATGCGGACAGCTCAGCAGCGACCAAATGAACAGTTCATAGGGTATTTCTAAATGGTATACGTTTTATCACACCTACATGAACAAAGGTCTTTTGATGATATGTAGCTGTCAGGTGAGGCTAATGATGTAAAAAGGCACATTGCACTATCCAGGTATTGATAAATGTTCAATAATGTTCTTACCATAACTTCCAGGCACTTGGAGTCAATGGATGGGAGACCCCAGTCCCCAGCCCACACCTCCAAATTCATTCCAGCCATGCTTCTTTACTGAAAAAGAAGAAACCATGACATTCAGGGACAGCAATATGAGTTATAAAACAGGTTTTCCAAAGCTAGCAGCATGATGCAAAGGCGGATAATTTCATCTTATTATGACGCAACCACCAGGGCATGGCTGGAGGACACTATAGACAAATCGCACATGATCGTAATGCGTGGAATAAGTCTTATAACACTTCTTCAAATAAGTCTTCAGACTTATGTGTGAAGTACCAAAACTTCTTGCTCCATCCTACAACATTGGGAACGTGAGACCAGACAAGCCAGCAGACAATCCGACAGAAAGGAGTCAAGCTGGCTTGTTTTGACTACCTGCAAGCAGCTATAAGTTGCAGGTCTCGTCTGTTCAAGTTACGTTCAGTGAGGCATTGCCTTGCTTCGCGGCCAATTCTAGACAGTCACATATTTTTCACAGGGGCGTAAGAAGGATCTCGTAATGGGGAAGGGGAGGGGGGAGCCAGTTTTTAACTTTCAGATAGTCTCAGCATCAGTTTAGTGCGTTGCGGAAGACATTTGTCGCATGGCACAAAACTTCTTAATCTAATATTTTGACGCGTCTCATGCGATTTGGTTGTTTCAACATCTCCTCGCGCAGATATCAGTACAGGTCATAATTTTGTGCGCGTGTGCACGGAGCCACTCAATGAATACGCCGCTGATTCTCTATACCAATGTGGATGGCGCCAGGGCGGTCGCTGGCGCATATTACATACTCAACCTTCATCAACAGCAAAAGGGATGTTTCCAACCACGCCCCTCTCGATCAGCAGAGCTTTGCTTGTGGCTCCTCCCAGTCACCTGCAGGCTCAAAGTCATCCATCTTTTGCACTTTGTACAAACCTGCTCATGCCTACTTAGTTTCAGCCCCCCTGCGTTCTCTTCCAGGCCCCAGGGACAGGTGACCAAACCATTTGCCACCCACTTGGTCCCTGTTTAGGAAATACATTGACTTCAGAGCTTTGATCAGATGTAAGTGCACTCACCTAACAGAACCACCAGAAGACTTAAAAATGTCAGTATAAGTTTAAGTCTAGCATAACATCATGAAAGTGAGATGTTTGGAACAAGGTCTTATGTGAGATTCCATTACCCAGCTTCAGCACATCCTCTACCATTCATCCTGAAAAGATGTACTTAGATCCAGAAAGTGGATCCAGGATCCCATAGTTTCAATGTAAAACAATCATGGAATCAAATCCATGGATCTTTTTGTGCTTCAGGGACATGCTTTTTGTTACCACCACTTTTATCAGTGTTGAAAGTTCAACACATCAATGCTGTGAGATGAATCCTCGATATAATCATCTATGCAAATGTACAGAATGCAGAGTACAAAAATCACCCACTCTGATCAAAACATCTAAACAACACACCTTAAAACCGCATCACATCATTTCTCCACAACCTGGTCAGTCTCAACTTTACAACACCACCCCTACAAAAATATTTCCTGATCTCAGGTTGATATGTTTGGCTTCAAATGAGCAGGTGACTATGAGATGACGCCAGCAATTTTCTATCCCAAAAGAAAACAGCCCAGTTCTTCAGCCAGCTATATCAATTAGTTTGCATTGTGTTACTCCAGAAGCCAAAGAGAAACTGGTGATATCCTACTACCTTGATGACTTTCATTGAGTGTAGAGTCTTGGGATGGAATCTATGGTGATAACTGATTTAAGAATTATGTATATGCACATGTACAATATAATACAGTACATGACTAGTATGTCTGTACTTGGAGTATGGCAATGCTATCTGGGGCCTGTTCGGCAAACTGGACCAGAAGCGGCTGGAACGGGTTCAGCGACTAGCTGCCCAGCTTGTCTATGAAGTGAGGTGCCAGCCACACCCTGAGAGGCTCAGACTCCTTCAGTTGCCCTTGCTGTACTATTGCCTCAGAGGGGAGACATGGTAACAGTGTGTCAGCTGTTTCAGGGAGGTATGTGTATGTCACTGTTAGAAGAGGAGCCCCTGACAAGGCACAACTCGGAAGTGACAAGAGGACACCAATGGAATTTCAGAAAACCTCCAGCTAGGACTCTTGTCATCTAACTCATTCAGCATGTGGGTTGTCAACGACTGGAACGCTCTTCCACACCCAGTCGTGCTGTTGACCTCAGTAAAACAGTTCAAGTCTAGGCTTGATATGTACTGGGCTGACATCATGTACAACATGCCACACTGAATCTTCCCATAATTCCTGCTGGGAGCCTGATGAGACTGGGACCTACAGGCTTAGTAGCCTTTTATAATTCTTGATTACCATAAAGTAAAGTGAGGTAAGGTAAGGTAAGAAACTCATGGTTTTGATATAAAATGAACCTTTCAATTAATCATATTATATTATCACATATGTCTGGCATGCTGCCCTCAGATAATCACACAAGCTGTAAAGTGAGGTGGATGGCACCCCATGCAGCACAGGAAATAGCTGATTCAGGTGTTCTTGATTTTCAGAACTAGTTGTTCAATTTTCTAGGCACCTCCAGCATGGTGATATGCTCTATCATACTGCAAACAGGTTAGCCCAGGATAATTAAGCCCATACTTATCAGGTGGCATTGCAATGGCTGAGCACAAATTCAGATTACATGATCCCAACAAATTTTGATTGATCCAGCTCTCATGTACCAAGTTTGGACAGTTGTCCACAGGTTAATTATAATTTGGGCCATGGTTGAAACATGAAGGCACATACCAAAAGGATGGTCAAAGACTTTATTATACAATGTTCACCATGTTGTGCACTATTATTCCTAGCAAAGGCTTCACACTTACAAAAGCTATCTGAAAACAGGGTGTGGCTTCCTTCTGAGTTGCAAGGAGCTCTTGCTCCCTCCTCCCAAGCCAATTTGTTTGATTTCCTGGTGACACCAACAATGACATGAAAGCTATAACCTTGGACGCGTGTCAGCACGCCCTCGCTATAGCAAGATCATGTCATGGTCAGCATTTACGCCTTACTTTACAAAGATGCAATGGACATGATTCATATCATATATATTATATACAAATCTATACACATGTCAGTCTCATACACATAAACAAATAGCCTCATATACAAATCCATGCCATGCACTAATATAAATAAACGTTATTTTCACTCACATCTACCACCCACCCAACACGTACCAACCTGTCACGCATAAACCCGCGGCGCGCGGCCAGGCGAGGCTGTCAGCTGATTTTGCGACGGTGGTGAAGATCGCCAAGAACTTTTAACTGATTGTACCATGACGTCACAAAACTGCAATATCCATGGCAACTTGGTGATAGCTCTGTCAGTATAACAGCTCTAGTGTCGAACTAGAGATACCATCGGAATAATACACACAAACATCTAGATTCGAAGGCTTGCAAAGTTGGCTGAAAGGCAAGGAACAACCGTGGAATTTACATACAAATATTTATGTTCATATCTCTTGCTGACATTTGCGGCTCCCGTTTGTTGTGGCCCAATCAGCTGATACCCGCACCGCGGACTCGGTTGAGCGATACGAATTGTGTGCTTGACTGCTAGGAGCGAAAGCATATTATTGGATGGCGAGGAGAGGTAAGTGAACGTGATGCATGTGTTCACTTTTGCTTGGTGTACTCTTTCGTACCAACACTGTGAGCTGGGCATCATACTCAATGAATTTCAACCGTGTTAAGGAGTGTGGTGCCTACCCCGGAATGTCACTTTTGGTACCTATTGGTTGTATGAAGTGCGAGGTGTACGTGGGGAACTTCAATGTTCCTTGCAACCTGCCGGAGTTTAACACACACAGATATTACAGGCATGGGAAATTCACCATTCCCCACCAAGCTGGAGGACTTTGGATATGAGTTCAGAGGTGAGCTAAGCCCTTTTTGCAAGTTATCTTACATTGTTGTATCACTTGAACTGAGCATTGTGGTTGTCTGAGAAAAATGTGATGAATAAATGTTCTTGGGCCAAATTGTGTGAACATTGTTTTTACATTAATCATTGATTCTTTTTTCTTATGAAGGTGCCAATTCTGCAGTTAATTGATAATGCATGGCTGGGTCTCATTGTACTTACCTTTATTGTAATATTTCCAGATGGATCCTTAAAGGACATTAAAACAGGTGGTCCATTTGAATTCAACATCTCAAAAGATCCTGAGTACAACCAAGCCAGATATGAGGCTCTTGGAGAGGTATGATTATCTCACACAATGCCACTTTTCTTCAGTGGGTGCGTGGTGTATGGTGAAAATCTTACATTTGGTTGATGCACCAATACTAAGCCATACTGTGGCTTGCCACTTTTTCAAGAACCACAGTTTGGTCAGCATTTGGTTCTTGGGCTAGCTTCACAGGCTGAAAATTAAGATAGTAAAATAGTTGTTTGTTATGGGTTTTCCTTCGCCCTTTGCACCATACAATTGCTAACAATATCAGCATAATATTCAATGGATTTAATCAGCATGCTTTTGCAGTACTTGAATCCTTACCAATTTTTGCCGCCTTTGTTTTCTGTCACATACCTGAAATGAGCAAAAGCAAACTGGCAGAAACTGTTTTCAGCTGGCTCCTGCCAACTCTGGCTATAATGCATAGCAAATACCATTGTAAGGATGTGGATATTGCTAGCATCATGTTTGTAGTATCCTGTGTCTGTTGTGGACTAATTCAGTTGCAGCAGACTGTTAGTGATGACCCTATACCTCATATACCTTCCTTTTTAACATTTAATCCAAACCATTTCATTGCATTGATTCCTAGGATCACACTTAACACTAAGCAATGCTTGTTGTATAAATGCTGACCACTACCATCTGATTGTGCAATTCTAGACAAATGGCAGAATGTGGTTACAAAAGTGAAATGTATGGAAGTGCTTGGCATGGTCCATCCTGCCCTTCAATATCAACTGACCTGTAGTGGGATGGCTGCCACTAGCCACAGGCCATGGCTGTCAAGAGCGAATAGGGAGCACCTAAATCACTCAAACCCATAGCCACCCTGCCATGTTGGAAGCCAGACACTGACAAACCGAGCTACCATGATGGACAATGAGTACAGCACACCTGATGACTTGATGACCCACCATTGTGCCCCACCCCCTGTTCAGGCTATCACAGCTGAGGTGTACCGTCTGCTGGAGACAGAGGTCGGCCTCCAGCGGCTCCAGGTACCGGAGCGGGCCGATCCGGACAAGCCAACATCCTGTGTGTTCGCCAGCCCCGGCTACGCGGACGCCGCGCGTCTGCTGCTGCTCGTCCACGGCTCTGGCGTAGTGCGCGCTGGACAATGGACGCGAAGGTGGGGCCCCTCCCACCCAGTCCTGTCAACACCCTCTGTGAGTGAGCATGTGGCAGAATGTGATCCCAGGATGGCTAACTTGGTCTAAAAGCAGCAGAGGTGCAGTGAAACTCATTCGTCTTTCTTCTTTTACGTGCATAACTGCCCTGCATGGACAGGAGAACATGTCACACATTTTGATGGGCTATAGAAGGGCTGATTTAGTGTTTTTGTTTTTGGCCCTATATGGGCTTTACATTAAGTCACAATTGGTAAGTGTGTTGTGAGAACTCCAAAATTCTCGTAAACATCATTTATTAGTTATGTATAAATCAGGTATTAGTATAAATGAGGTCGTGAAGCTCATTTGAAATGGGTTGGTAATTCATTCCGAGTCTTTTCACCGTTGTTCCCTTAAGTTATCTCAACATGAAGCACCCATGAAAGGCGTGCAAAGCTCCAGCAAACAGCGTATGTTCCATGCATGCACGGTTTGAACGCGTGATACCGGTGGAATACAGCTGCTTTGTATTGCCGTGATATCTCGTTTACGATTTTAAATGTTTATTCCCAGTCGTGTTCGCCAGTGGGCCAGCGCAGTGCTCACCGCCGTGAGGAGATGAGGACATGTTACCCACGTCACGCGTGACGGCCGTTCCTGCTAGCGATCGTCCGTGCCTAGCTGACTCAGCTCAGCTGCAACACATCGAACTCGTTCTCAGGCTGATCATCAACAACGGACTTCAGGAGGGCACGCAGCTGCCGTACATCAAGCGTGCTCTGGCCGCTGGGTACGGCGTGCTCGTGCTGAACACGAACGACAACCATCGCGTCCAGAACAAGCAGAAGCAGCTCATCCCGGTGGGTGCCGCGCGGGCACCATCGGCGGTCCCGAGACAACTAACAATTATAATGCGAGCTAAGAAATCAGACTGATTTCCGGCTTTAGCGACTTTCCACTTGAGTGCCGACGCGCAGAGAAAGGCGAGGAGTGTTGTGTGCTGGGCATGGGCACGTTTCAACAGGTGGGGGTAGGCATCGCGTAGGTTCGGCATATTTTAGGAACCTTTTTGCGGCGGCTTGCCCCGCAACCAGGGTTGACGGGAAGGGGGGGGGGGGGTTGACCTTGTCCGCCCTTATTCCACGAAACATTTTGAGGCTCCCCAGACAGGGCAAAAGTTTTCCAGAGTAAGGAAACAGCCCTCCGACAGGTGCAAAAAAATTATGTGGGGTTGGGCGAATCAGCATTGTCAAGCAACTGTCCCATGATTTGTTCGTGAAATGTCCTCGCGAATGTCTTGATTTAGTTAATGGAAAGAATGCTATTTTTTCGTAAACAACTTTGGTTTCATCTCAGTTCCCACCGTATGTTTTTGTCCGGTTGACTCGTGCTTCACGCTCGCCATCTCCGCCGTATCGTCCAATCTCACCCAACCCGTATCCAATCCACTCCATCTCATCCGTATCGCCCAATCTCTGTCACATAGTCCTGTGGCGTCCAGCTGCCGAGGCGGCTTCCGCGGCTGGTGACGCCGTCCAGCACCGGTGGCCCATCCTTCTGACCACTGACGGACGCGTCGGCAGGGGAGTGGCCGGCCAGAGGAGCACGCGCTGACCGTGTGGGACACGTACGTCCGGCCGGCGGCCGCTCGCGACCTGGCCATCGTGGCCCACAGCTACGGCGGCGTCGTCACCGTGCACCTGGTGGGTAGGCGTGCGGCGGTCCCGATGGAGGTCGACGGTGGCCTCCCCACTCCCCACTGAGTGTGTGTGTGTGTGTGCAGATGTGCGTTGGAAGACGGCTGGGGCTGGCCAGGTGGGGCAGCTCCACCACTTGGCTCGGCTATTGTGGCTGCCTCGGCCATGGTAGGTGGTATTGGTTGTCCGTGTGCCGAGTGGACTGGTGGGCACCTCGGTGCTATTGTGGCTGCCTCGGCCATGGTAGGTGGTATTGGTTGTCCGTGTGCCGAGTGGACTGGTGGGCACCTCGGTGCGACCGTGGCTGCCTCAGCCATGGTATGTGGTATTCGTTGTCCGTGTGCTGAGTGGACTGGTGGGCACCTCGGTGCTGGGCTGACTAACGTTTGGTTTAGTCAGTTGGACCAGTCGGACCCAGTTAAGCAGCACTCAGGGTAGTCCCTTGGTGGATGTTATAGCTTTTGCTCATGTTACCAGAAACAAACGATATGCGGTTTTGCTCTTATCTGCAAGGGAAAACGTCGCGGCTGGCTGACTCCAGTGCTGCCATCTAGATCCATTTCAGCGTTTTGTTCCGGTAAAATGTCCATGGTTTGGACATGTTGAGAACCCCGGCGAGTCGTTGGTTGCGTGTATGTTGTACGTTGATGCAGGATGGTTCTCCCCAAGGCCTTCGCCTCGGTCTGCCTCATCTGTGCGCCCCGGCGTGGCTGTCGCGCCGCTAGAGGCACGCTCGTGCGGCTCTGGCCAGCCGCGAGTGATCCGTGCTCCCATCGTGCAGGCTGGCTTTCCGTCACGAGTGGCCCTCACTGACCCTGACCCTTGCCCGGACCCTCGCTGATCCTGACCCCGACCCTGATCCTGACCCGGACCCTTGCCCGGACCCTCACGGACCGTGACCCTGACACTTGCCCGGACCCTCACGGACCCTAACCCTGACCCTGACCCGGACCCTTGCCCGGACCCTCACGGACCCTGACCCTGACCCTTGCCCGGATCCTCACGGGCCCTGACCCTGACCCTGACCCTTGCCCGGATCCTCACGGGCCCTGACCCTGACCCTGACCCTTGCCCGGATCCTCACTGACCTGGTCAGCAGTGACCAGGACCGGCCAACGTCCGGAGACAACCCTCGAGTCCTTCTGACCAGCCATTCCTGCTGTACCAGGTGACGAAGAGGTGGGAGGAGGCGCGGCAGCGGGTGGCAGCTGTGGCCCTCACAGACTCCGTGCACAGCATGGCAGCGGCCAGCCAAGACATCCGCCAGTGGTTCTCAAAGGCAAGTCGCTCGGTGTGCTGTCCGCAGACAGTGCAGTGGTAGTTGATTTTGTGAAAGCAGAACGGTCCGCGGCAAAAGAAGCCGGCCTGCGAGCCCGGCCACCCGAGCAGGCGGCTCAGGGGCTCGACGTGTGGCCACCGAGCACACGGCCGTAGCCGACAGACTGCTAGCAGCTGACGCGGCGAGAGTGATGGGATAGTTACGAGCTTGCCTGAAATCGAGCACCGTAGGACGTAGCGCTCAGTGTGCTCTGGCATAGGCTCGAGTAAGCGATCGATCACCACAATACAGAGCTTCACGCGTCCCGTAGTCATAACATGAACAGAGGTGCTTCCTCTCCATGGATATGGGAAATGTGCAATCGGTGGTGAAACACTATCCTTCGTGAAATGTCGCGTTTCGCAATAAGTTGGATTATGCATCACCGATCCCCAAAAGTCTATGTCCGTTTGCCGTGGCCGCCGTCGGCAATAGCCAAACGTATCGTCTACAGATGTCGCTAGTGACAGGGCTTCGGGTAGGCGTCTCGCCGTGGTAGCTGCAAATCCGTCGCTGCATTATCCAGGGGCGTTGCTGCGTGTATTGTGGCACCTCGCTGTCGTGGTTATGTTCCTTCATCAAAACCTTATGTGACGTGTTGAGTACAGAATAGCAATTCGTGAGCGCTTACATATAAAACGTGCCTAAAGTTGCGTCATTGATCTTCCTGATTTCGAATTTTTGCCAGGAAAGTTTGAGGTGGATTCGAAGTCTGACATTAACGGTGGACGATGCGCATTACTATTGCATGGAAAACGTTTCTTTCTCCCAGGCGTTCTTCGGGGTTTGTTTGTAACCCTGAGTGGATTGGTACACTTTGAAATGGTTTGATTGTTTTGAGCACCGTTGGAAATGTGTAGCGATCTTACCTTCTAGCGCTCGAGATCACACGCGACGCAAGCAATATACAATAGTTTGGGTTCTAAACCCCTATAAGTGAAAAACAATTCGAAGTGAATCATGCATTCTATACATGCGAATGGATTTCAGCTGTGCTACCAGCATCCTGTTATGCACATTGGTGGCCAAGCCTCGTTAAAACATGTCTGGAACAATTTTTGATGTCTGCATATGACCTACGTGGCTGCCTTCTACGTGGCTGCCTGCCGTTGTGAGCGCTGTGAACACTGCGCCATCTGGCGACCAAACATGGCGGCGGGGGACTGCGCGGCCGTCGCCACAGGCTTCGGTGGCCAACTGGCCAGAAATACGAGTGTTCTGCTCACCCGCCACGCAACTGTAAGCGTGATAAGGACGCGCCGTGTGTGCCATACCGAACGGCACGGCACGACCTACGCTGCGGTGAACTTCGAACTTTGCGAGATGAAATCATATGCGCACTTGTGTTGAGTTCTTAGTCCATCTGTTCGTAGCACGTCGATGACATCAAGGGTCGAAGCGCCAGACAGGAGGTGCTGAGTGGAGTCGGTGGTTGTTCACACTGCTCCAGCTGGCGGCGCAGATGGCGGCCGTGGCCTCTCAGTTTTTAAACCTCGTTCATTCGGCAGCACTATGAGTAAATGGTCTTGCTGCTGCGTGGTCCGTAGAATAGCGTGAGGACTTCTAGTCGTCAAGCTCTGGCGAAGCTATGCCTGGCCTCTGTAATGGAATCCTCTAGGGGCCTTTAGGCATTATTGTGCCTTCTTGTTAGCGGACATAAGCAGTTTTGGCCACGGTACGTGCCGCGTGCTGGTCGGAAAACACTTGTCTCTGCAGTTACACTGTATGCAGATATTGGGACCGAGAGCACCTGAATTTATCAAATAATCTATCCGAAATATGTGCGCATCGATATGAATCGTGCATAGCTGTATTTCTAAGTAATGACTCTAAATTGAGTGAAATACTGTGTCATCTCGTCGGCAATGAGGTGTGGACTGGCATTTTATCTATTTGTTACCGTCAAACTATGTGACTCACTAACTTGGGTCATAACGCCCAACGTGGAACGTCCAGCGTCCAAACTATGTCACTAACCGACTCGGGTCATAAGGCTTTCCGATGGCTCCCGATTTCGTAGCGTTGTGGGCGCGACTTTCCAGAGCGTCCTGGCCCGCTCGCGAAACAGCTTAAAAGCATGGCTGCACGCGGGGTCAGGCGTCTGCGAGGCGTGCATCCGTCCAGTCTGCGTCCCTAACGCGTTCGCTCCGTGGTGGTCATTCAGGAACCTCACACTATTTTCCAGGACAGTTGCCCGGGTTCTCTAGCATTTGTTAGGAGAGGAGTTCACGCCCTCCCTGATGTCAGCATTCCGCAGCCGTGTGTCGCCGCTTACGTCCCCGCTTGGGACCGGCGCCGCGCCTGTGCGGCCGTCACCGGCTGGTGGTGCTGTGGCGGCCGGCCCAGCGCCAGCCGCCACAGTCCTGACCGGAGGCCGGCGCTCGCTGCCCGCTACCGTCCGCCGCCGCCGCCGCCGCCACCAGCGGGCAGCCGGACCGCCGCCGGCCCCCTGCCCCGTGCTGCCCCGTGCCAGATGGCGTTCCGTTGGCGCCGTCCACTGGCCGGAATAGGGCCAAGGAGAGGGCAGACTGCCCTGCCGCCCTGGCGCGGCCCGGTCCGGCCCGCGTGTGTTGGATGCGGAGGTGTGTCGTAACTGGACCGGGCCCCGGGCGACAGAGGGGCGCCGCACGCCGCAGGCGGCGGCCCCGGCGGCGCCCTCTGCAGTGGGCCACAGGTGCAGCCGGCCGCGCCGCGCCCCGTCTCGTCTCCAGCATGAGGGGTGGCTCGGGCTGGGCGCGGAGCCGGCTGCTTGGTCCACCTGCTCGGCGGCCGTATCTGGCGCAGATCGAGCTGGGAGGCACGTAATGACCGCCGCAATGGCACCTGTCGGCCTGGTCAAACAGCGCTGGTGACAAATTGGCGGCATCGTGACAAGTTCACAGCTGCTCTGAACGCGGGCCAGGTGACACTGATGTCGTGATTAAAGCGCGGCAGCTGATGCCGGATTGCACCTCCGGGCTTCCGTACGGAATCAAATATAGATGGATACGTGCCATGCCACGCACTGCTGCGCCATCACCAACACAGCACCAAAACACACGTGTCTGGCTCTGCTTACGCGGATAGCATACCCGTTTGTGCAGGAGCACTTTAAGCGATTTGAATATTCCTAACGTGAATTTTGTCATGAGTGCTGTACTACTAAGTATGACTTGGTGTTAACAGAGGAGTTCATTTGAGTGCGCATTTCCTCTATATTTAGTTGTTCTAATAAGCCGCCAGGCGTTAGGCCCCTCCCCTTCCCCCGTCTTAAGTACCCTGAGAACATAGCGTAGGTGCTGGGTCGCCGTCTGCCTGGTCATAGCGAGCTGCCTTGTTTGGCAGCGGCGTTAGTGCGTTGTTTTTAGGCCATGAAGGTCCCGGCTCACGCCGGATTAGTGTTTCTATAAGAGCTCCGTGCTCGGTTTGGTTTCAGAACTTTTCGGATGAGTATTTTCGAGTGTTTAAAATGCTTACACAATTTGCAAATTCGCGTTGAGGTCAGTTTATTATTGACAGAACCGGACATCATCAGTATGTGCTCAGAACACACGAGACCACTATTCAGTATGCTCAAAATTAACAAGGAACACGCTTGGTGGTATGAATTCGAGGTGGCTACGTTGCGTGGTTCCGCACACACTTACATGTAAAGATGCAATTGGCCCACGCTTGGGGCAAAATTGGCATCTGACCAGCCTGGTGGGCTCACTAAGTGGTCTGACAATAGAAACCCAGTGAACATGCGCCGTGTCTCGCTGGGGTCAATCCATTGGTATTTTCTGCGAATATTCATCATTCTTTATTTGGAATTGGCAGGAGTGGGCTCCAATCGCCCGTCCCCCCTCCCGTTCCACTTTTGTGACGAAAATGGTATATCCAGGCAATGGCTTGAGACGGCACCAGGGGAAAAAAACAGCATTCAAAGTGCTAACTTAAACGGCGGGGTATGTCTTGCATAAGTGGCTCCATTTAGCATTGCGTCGCACTATTCGGTCTGCACTGTGATGAATTGGATCTAAGGCAGCTTAAACCCACCGTGGACAAGACAGGCATTTCGCTGAATTGTTTTAGGAGCGTAATGCCTGAGTGGCTGGCGCGTCGCACTCCAACGCGGGAGCCCTGGTTCGAATCCAGGTTGCGCCATGTCCCCTGGACGCTAATATAGGCAGTATGGTCGCTAGCGTTTCGTAAAAGCGGCGTGACGACGTGCATCGCGGTCCTGAAAAAAAACGTGAAAGATTGTCTTGTCTTGCTCGCCAGTGTTCAAAATTCCTTGCATCCATTTTCATTTACTTCGTTTCTCCCGTGATAGGACACAAGGCTCACCAAGTTCTGTTGTTCGGTTATTTCAGTTTCTCACGTAACTAACTAGGGTGAAAACTTACTCCTGCCAGAAGTTTTTTATGTTGTTTATATAGCGTTCATTATTTTCGAATATCTATATGCAATACTATATATATATATATATATATATATATATATATAGCGAATGTTCAGATCCGGTTCGTGGTTTGGAAGTATCTGCTAACTGCCGATGAAGCCCGCGCGCGCTGGAAGGAGCCGCTGCTCCGGTGACCTGAAGCCAAGCATTCAGGCATCCTCGGAAACGCAGAACAGCTGACTTTCCGCCACGGACACCGGCCATGTGACACCGTTTGACACATTGTTAATAATTTCGTGCTGATGAGCTCGGTGCACGTGCGGGAAACTCTCCTCCGCTGGAATGTGACGTCCCACGATCACGGGCAAGGCTGCGGCCCAGCATCAGCCGGCCAGACATGTTTAAGCTTCAGACTCGTCTCGGACTTGAGTTGTATGGTTGTGTCGACAGCATGGCGCCTGTCTGTGGGTTTCGTTCTCACTGCAGTCTTACAGCAGCGTACCAAAATTGTCGTTCCTTTGATGCATATTCTGAACACTACGTCACATTAGCAACAACAAAGTCAAAACAAAGAACGTCGGACTGTGGTTGAATGTGG